TGAATGCAATACCTGCATTATGTCTACACACATTGGTAAGTTATCTAAGTCCTAATGTGTACACAGAAGGTATATGCGTGTAAAAAACACAAATTTGCAAAAATTGCATCAGCATACATTATACATAACAAATTCTAATTAACAATGCATAGTGTATCTGAATAGCTGAAATCAACACTAACACAGTTTCTCTTTCTATAAATCAACATATAGATATAAATATGAACCTTAAAACATTAACTTTCTCGTTCCAGACAATTAGGAGACTTGTTCCAGACAATTTAAAAGCTGAAAACACTAACATAATTCTTGGGATCCGAGTTATTTGTTTCAACGTTTTTGTTCTCAAATATGACTACTATACAATAGTAATTTTTTTACGACAAGCAGAGTCAATTGCGCCTGATTCGAATTTTGAATATTTATAAGTTGTTATCTGTGAATAGATATTATCAAGACTCTTTCTCATGGTTTGCTTTTAAAATCTTTTTATTAGCAAGCTTGGATAGGTCAATAGATGCCTACATTTTTTTTTACCCGACCATCAATACTCAACGGTTGCACACATTCATAGCTATATACGAGTACCTCTTTCGAAAAAACTAGCTTCCCATCGTTCAATGATATGAATACACCAAGCATACTGAAATGTGAGCAAAATCAATGGCATCAGTTGTAGTCATACATTTACGTAATTCGTAAGGCAATCAAACTATCACGCATATCATTTTTTTTGTGTAAGCAAAGCTTCATACCCATTCCTGAATTACTGGAACATTTTGACAACGCATGCCTTTGTAGTATATTGTACAAAATGTGTTATTTGTGCATGAATTGTCATTAAATTGAACTTTTGTAGTGGCTTCTGTTGATTACATGTAGTTAGCAACTAAGTTCCATGTCTCTGTGAACTTTGTGTTGAGTAGCATCTTCATTCATGTAGATTACGCTCAAAATGTTGCATGTTTTTCAGAATTCTTACGTTATCATTTGCCAATTTCTGAAAAATAATAAATTGTTGTTCAAGCCAATACTTATGAGTTACGGTAATCTATTTGCTACTTAAAATACGCTTATTTGTTATGACTAGCAAACCATTGTGAAAACCAGCTGTACCATCAGTTCGGTTAGTTTAAATACGCGAATAAAAAATTCAAATCAGCAATATTAAGACCAATCATTGAAATAATGTGCTTTAAAAAGTGAATACGTACTTATTTTTACAGCAATCTTTTTGTAAGAATGTTTTTTGTATACGAGCTGATGACCTTTTTTTAATCTGTGTGTTCTTGTATTATGCACGTCGAGATTAATAAAAAACAAGAGATTTAATACTCACTATGAGTTGCAATTATAAGTTATTGTATGTGGGATTATATTTCAGGATCCAACTCCCTAGAAACGTTTGACTCAGACCTCCTCAGCTCCCTCGAAATGTTTGACTCAGTCTCCTCAGCTCCCTTGAAATGTCTGACTCAGACCTCCTCTACTCCACTTGATGAGCACATGCATCAAGCTCAGGTTGGCAACATTCTATTCTGTTGCATTATCATCATAAATAAATTCATTCATATAATTTTTGTCGTTATTAATGAGTAATATTCCAACTTTGAAAGAATCCAGTTTTACTCTCGCTGCATGCCATAAAGAAAACATAATTTGATGATCAATCAATTACCAGTTAGTCTATGATATTCGTCACTAACGTATGTATAAATGTGGAGATCTGTTCTTAAAAACATCATATAATACTCAAATGTATTTCAGGACATTGACTGTGCAGAAAAGGATAAGGCAGCCTCTCACTCGACCATCTTAGAGGAAGAGACAACTGCTGCTGGCATGTTGTTTGTGAGAGCGCATTCAGCCACTGAAGCAGCTACGACGGAAACCTCTACAGAAGAGCAACAAGATTTGCCAGTTGTGGAGGAGATGATAGTGGGTAATGAGTTTGAAGGAGTAAGTTCTGAGTAGATAGATGCAAAAAAATGACCGCGTTTAAATGGTAAATTGCTTTATTTGTAATGTTCGCATCTTAATAATTTAATATTATTAGTGAGGAGAGCACTTTTCTGTAAAAAACATCATATAATATTAAAAAAATGTAAACCTGCTGAAATGAATAAAGATTGAAAGCAGTTTCTCCCCACACATCTGTATTATAGGTGTAGGAAGAGGATCCACCGTCTGCATGCTTGTTGTCCGTTGTTTCAGGAAGTGACCGGGCAGGCGGCAGCTACGGCACGACAAAAACTATACAGTAAAAATATCATTTATGCATGTTTCTAGATTTTATTATTGAGGCAATGAACTTATGAAGGAACAATTGTTTTATTCTAAATTTAGATGTTGTTCAATGTTTTGATTCTATTTATCAATTCCGTGAGAAATGCCAAGAACTTCAACCAAATCCGTGCGAATCCTTTTTTGGGCAATTCCGTGACATTTTCTAATTTGAGTACCAGTGTTCGGTACCTTAAATTTCCAGTTAGGACTTAAAGGATTCCTAATATACTCACAGACATATTTAAAAGTCTCAAACCATAATATTCTTTCTACACAAACAGTTTATCACTATTTGGTAGAGCAAGGTCAACTGTCAACTTTGACACATTTTTCAATGATCTCATTGGGTGGCATGCACCATCTCTCCTTGGATCTCAACATTTTCCCGCTAGATGGCCCAGACCTAGTGTTTTGGCAGTAGTTTGACACATAGTGGCAAAGCAGAGAGTTTTTTAGACTCTTCCTCAAGTTCATTTTTGAGTCCTATAAGTAGACCAGTAGGGTAAACGCGGTATATTCCGACACATTAAGGACGCATCGAGAAATGAAAAACTATAAAAAAAACCGTATGCGTTACGTAAGTTCTGTTGCCTTCACATGACTCTCAAAACACTTCACTACGCGTCAGCAACGATGAAACGTCACAAAATGTTGCCATATTTATTAAAAAGCCTTTAGAATGGAAACCTACCAAATCCCTATATTGTCAGGCACGCTACCGTAACTCCCTTACTTGTTTTAGCAGTTACTGCGTCACTTCCGTGACGTCACTATAGCATGCCTATATAAGCTCTTCGAGCAGACCTTCAGTCAGTCTTAGGCAGCCCCAGGCGAGACGTAGTAAGCCATCATCATGTAGTCCGCACGATCACGCCAGACTCCGGCGTCGAGTAGCCTCCGTCGTTAGAGTAACCATCTAAAACCTACCTTGTGTACTTATCACCAAGCTTCCTTGTATTCCTATCTAGATCGTAAATATATAACTAAGAAACTCGCCTCTCAATCAACCTGCCGCTTATTCGGACCTTAGATACGAACCCTTGGACCCTCAACTCAAATAAACCTAAGAAGATCATCCGGTTATTAATCAATACTAAACTTTGAGATAATTATATATTATCGGGCCAGTCAGACCAAATCACATCCGGACAATATTCCGTCACTTTGTGTGGCAACATCCGACACGTGGTGAGTCGTATTGCGTCAGCGGCCAGTGCTTCAAATTTAACTGATACGTATTGCCGACATCCACATGTTCGAATTCCGTTTGCTGTGTGAGCTGTATTGGGATAGTCTCTTATACACATCTAGATGTGTATAAGAGACAGCCTAATGCACAACATCTGAAAACACAATATAATTAATAATAATAATAAAAAGTTTAAAAACATCCTTTGAGTATAAAAATTATGTTAATATTGTTTATTTTATAATACTTTTGGCTAACTGTGGGATGCCAAACAGGTTTAAAATTCTAAAACTAAAAGCTGTTTTTGAAAATATTTCTCCATTCCATCTCAGGAAAAAATATTCAATTTCCAAGCTTTCATGTAATTCTCAGGGC